TTCATCGCTGTACCCGTAAAATCGAATCAGGGCACGTCGTGTTACTGCGAAAAATTGTGCTGGATACAACCCCCTCCCAAATTTCCTCTTCTGGTGCGACCTCGCCCCTTTCGAATCCCACCTACCATCTTCCTCAGTTCTCTCAGATTCCTATCACTTCCCCGGAAAGATTCTCCTGTCTCCCCGTCCCCCCCCCCCAAACTGTCGTCGCTCCGAGGGGAGGGACCGGGGTATATAGCACCACGGGAACAGGAAAAACTTGAAAAGATAAAGAAAACCCAACAACCGAAGACATTTTTCTCCCCTTTCTCACCCCCCCCCCCCCTCTCTCCACCCTCTTGCCACGCTCACACTTGGCGGTGAGATACTGCTCATCATATAAGAGTTCTGCTCATCATATAAGAGTTAAACAGTGAAGAAGGCATTAGTTCAAGAAAAAAAGGCTGAATGGTGAGTCATGTGTCGCATAGCCCTATAACCTCAGTGCTGGTGGATAAAGAACAGTCTCCTCAGCAAAGCAAGCCAAAAATCAAAAGCGAACCAGGAAAAGAACTAAAGATCAGAGGGCAATCCTCATCCACTCCCTTTCACCCCGCTTTTTCAGCGGAGTAATAATTGTCAGTGGTGGCAGAGGGCAGCGGAATGCGGTGGCGGTCACCTGACGCTTCGGAATGAACAAGCCATGAGTTTTAAATGATCGCTACCACTGGATGTTCGAAGAACAAACAAAAGTGGCGCTGTTAGACTTGGAGGTGACATTTTCCCTTTCGCCTAGGACTGACAAAAGTGCAAAATGTCCCTTCAAAGCCAGACACTGCCACTTTGTTAGTTCCTGTTAATCAACAGATCTCACTTTGGTGGGACCTGTAAACCATGTGAAGCTGCGAAATGCTGTGGGTGAGCCGCTTTGGTAACAGGAGTTTACAGGTCTTTACAAGCTGTTCTATAAAAAGCTTAGATGATTACCTCCCAATGCCCCCACTAAACCTAACTGCGCCAAAGACTTTTCGGAAGCATTGAAAACACACACATGAATACTACAACAAACTCACTCCAATGAGTGCTTCGGTGTTTGCTGGAAGGTTGAGTGCAGCATCTGGCAAAGTATTTTTTGGTGAAGAATTAGCCAAACGAGAGCGTAAGTCGTATGCGGTAGCTGGAGCACCCGGTGTTGCTGACAACTCCACACGGATTCCTTGTGATGGATACGGTCGTTGTCGAATCCTGAACAATCGTCAAATTGGACAGCATGGATATATTCATTGCTGAAAGCAGTAGACACGATTGCTGGAGACGGGCAATTGTGCCAATGTCACTGGTGGAAGTGAGGGAGGTGTGACAGAATATCCTCTCGCACCCCTTCCACCAACGGCGCTGTCTACAACCGCCGTCCCAAGAATCGTACCTTTAAGGGATAAAATAAAATAGGTGACGTGAAATGTTCCCATTGGATGCTTCGCTTTCCAGGCTAACCGCTCCACAACCACACGCTGAATCTTCACTAAAGTGTCCACTTTTGGAATCACATCCATTTGCGGCGGTGCAGTTCGGCTTGGTAGAGACAACAAATGGCCCTCAGCTAAGTTGAACACGCCATCTTGTGAAACTCGGAGATTCCTGTGACCGGAGTGACTCCCTTGCACCATTTCCCAGCATTGCAGGAATTTACAGGTTCTACCGAAAAGATTTTTGTTTAGCATGACTTATTAAAAGGAACTAGCGAAAGTGCTAAATGCCCTCCCAAGCCGAACATTGCCCATGGTGTCTATGGCACGTTCATCATCTGCAAAAAGAACCATGAGTACAGTGAGCACCCATCAGTGCATTTCATCTTGACATGCAGAGGCCTCTTGTCTCTCACGTCCAGCCACCCCTCCCTCCACCGATGTGTCCCATGAGGCATATTCCGCGCTCATCGTCTGGGTGGAGATAGAGAGCAGCGTGTTCCTCCTCTTTGTCAGAAAAGGCCATCCAATGAGAAAACACAGGGCTTCTTTGTCTCCAAGCTCCCCCTTTGCGAAACGTGCTTCCAAAGACACAATCAGCGGCTGTTCTGCGTAGAATTTCTACCTTGCAAGAAGTAGCACAGCAGGTAGCTTTTCCGCGGGCTGAAAATACTCGATAAGAACATCGGAGGTCTGCTAGAATTATCTAGCTCCGCCCACGGACGCCCGTCTCCGCCCTACTTCATTTCATAATCGCTATCTCGCGGAACTGCTCGCCTGCGCAACCTCTTGTCATTTCATCCAGTTTTCAAAAGAAAGAAATCCAACATACCCTGCAGTGGTCCGTCGCAGTGTAGATGAGCTTTTATTCGACGATGGCAGCTTTTTGGCAGTGCCTTTTCCGGCCGCGACGATCACTCGCGATATCTGTAATACATCAGCTCGTTGTCACAAAAATCAATCAGTCACAACATCGAAACCCTCGTCAAACGTAAGAATCCACGGTGCCAGAAAAATTATTGGTTGGACAATTATTGGTTGTATGTTGATTAACTCCGCCCATTAGTGGTTCCGTAGAGTTCGCGTTTTCCTGGTGGGCGGGGTCGATCGATTCCCATTTTATCCTTTGCTGCATTCTTCAGGACATTCTCTACTTCTATCGTGAGTTATCCCAAATCAGGATTTCCAGTGCCGGAATAAATCGACTCCGCCACAGTAAATCGCGGATTCTTCGGTAACACAAGTGGGTGGGGTCGGTTGACTTCCATACAATCTTTCGCTGCCTGTTTTTTTGCTTTAATTTCAGACTTTCCAATTTGAACAGTTCATGGTCGCCGATCCTCACAGTCGAGCATCGCTCACATCGCGGACTCTGTGGAATTTGTGGGCGCAGTCAATCAACCATCACATAACAGCGCGTTCATACTTCGCGATCATAATCGCGCGATTCAAGTGATCGGATCGCTAAGTATGAATATGACATACGCTGTTATTCCTTCGTCTTTTCTCGGAGTCGCAGATTCTTCAAATTGATAGGTGTACTTCTCCTATTGACCGGATTCTATACATTCGCAAAGTATAGACGGAAAAGTACAAACGAGGCCCAGGTATGTAACTCCCTGTGGTAACGCAGTAGTCAAAATATCCTAATTTTCGTCATAAATATCAACTGTGACTACCAGAAAATATCAAATTCATCAACTTTTACTCAAAAAACAAAACAAATACATTTGCTTGAGCAGATAAGAGGCAATTTCGTGAGACTATCTATAGGAAAAAGATGTGAAAAACACTGCAAAGCAGAAAATTGGTTTCTTCAATCGCTAACGCAGTTTGACAATATAAAACACAAAACAACAACAGAAAATAATGTACAGGGCTTGAATCACACAATGCTAGGCGCATAGCACAGTATTACCTATGGTACATCTCATAGTACAAGCCCTTGACTTCAAACGGGAATACTTTTTACCTGACAATATTCAAAACAATACATTTTGTTGGCAATCGGCAGCATAAAAAAAGTTAAAAAATACATAACGTAGAATTCTATAGAAATTTGGCACTGTTCAAAAACAGCTTAAAATCCTACCAGCTTGATCACTATCGTGATTCACACGTTATGAGCTACCTCTTTCAAAGGCTACTTGCGGTGCTAACGTAGTGTGAGGAAGAGTGGCGACTAGCGCGATCAAGTCTGCGCAAAGCCACAGCGACCCTGGCCCTCTGCGCTGTAACCCCGGGTCTCTTGGTTACGGGAACGACATAGAGTTCACCTCCCCCCCCCTCGCCGGACTACGCCCATTTATTCTACTTCTAAATCGAAAAAAAAACTGGACACACCACATATTTGCAGTTGAAAGCCCTAAAACATGCTGGCGCATCAGGGCACGTCCTGCCGTTGGGGAAAAAATTCTTGCAGAATACGAGCCCCTTCAGGTTTCCTCGTCCGGGGGTGATTCACCTTCCTATACCCTATCTTACCTACCATCCCCCTAAATCCCCCAACTTTCTGTCTTTTTGGTTTTGATAAAAAGGGAAGACATTGGGAGACTGCCATCGAGGTCCCCGAGGGAGGAGGCGGGAACGGGGCGGAAAACTGGGTAGGCTGGCGCTGACACTACTCCCTCTCAACATACTTCCTTCCCACCCATTTCCAACTTTCCCAACTTCCTACAACTTTTCAGAAATTCATTATCGAAAAATCCTAACTTTTCCCCAATAAGAACTGCCGCCCGAGCGGGCAGGCGGGGGAGAGGGTATGCCGCATAAGAAAAGGGAAACGCCCGGGAAAACCAACAATCAAAAACCTTTTTCCTCAAGAAGACGACCTTCATTCCCTCCCTCCTCCCCCCACCCACAAGGGACTAACGATCCCCCCTTGGGAATCCCCCAACGTACGACATGCTCTGTGGCATATACAACAATAGCGATTATTACGGAAAAAAGCTCAAAACAAGAAGGAAAACACACTGAAATTTGGAGGCAAAATCTATCAATGCGAACAAAATTTGGCAAGGAATGCTGTTACTACCACACGGGAGAAAAATCTATGAATCAAGTATCATCTAGAACTACGGGTTTTGAGATTTCACTCATAATTTCACACAGGATGCATACCGCTTCTTTTGGACGCCATCATTTCCGCACGTGTTATTTAAATCGTACATTCCCCAGGAACCTGAGTTGTATCTTGTTCGTTGAGGATGCTCGGCGAACAAGATACAGTGTGCTGAGAGGAGGGGGCTCGGTTTGGCGCGGCGCCAACCGGTCTTCCACCAACCGTTGTCGTTTGCACGTTTCAGCAATTGGTGTAGAACGGACCAACCGCCAAACTAACCTCACCGCTCCCCTCCTCTCTGACACGTCCATGTATCCACAGCGAACAAGGCTGTTTTCCTCTTCACCTATTCAGCATTGCTGAACCCGAGATAAAGTGATCCTTTTGGCAATCAGTGGACGGCAAACCGTACTATCAGAACAAGAAAACCTTTGGGGATGTGCGGAGGCATCAAAACACAATGAAAAATAATCAGCAGGCAAAAACTGTCCGATTCACGAATGAAGCCGACGGAACAACGATGAAAAAGGAGGCGTCGTAGTAGTAGTAGTAGTATCAAACAGATCCGTCAGTGTTCGAGTGCGGTAGCCGATCAATGGAAGTCGCTGAAATACACCAACACCAGATACTACACCAGAACACTGACAATCTATTACGATAACACTATAAGCACACCATTAAAGCCGCGGGACGATTGCTGAAGGTGGGCAGTTGTTGCCAGCGTCATTGGCGGAAGGGCGCTGGCCCCACTCCCCACAGAGCGTTGGGTAGTTTGGCAGAACGTCTTCTTTTAGCCCTTTTACCAATGGCACTCGCAACAACCGCCCGCCCTTGCCAATCGTGCCCACTGCCTCTGAAATAAATGGAATGGTGATTGATAAGAAAGACCAGACCAGAGCTGCTAGGAAGCAGCTTATCTAGGAGGGGTGGTTGGGCGTATTTCAGGATGCTAGCCAGTTGTTTTAAAGAAATCTTATAGTCACTTCAGCTTTTAC